TGGATATTTCCTTTGGTTTTTCTTGAGTTGCCAAAAAAGGAAATTTTTAAAATTTTTTGTGATTTGCGGAAAGAGTTCTTGCTTTTAATAACTATATTATAGAATTATGAATTATTATTAATATATATATATATATTTATTAGAATATGAATTATATTTTTAAAATTAAAATTATAAAAAATACTATATATATTTATAGTTATACAGTGCATGTCATAAATAATAAGATAAATTATAACATAGATCCTATATAGTAATATTTTGTATAATAACAGCCAATAAAAATTCATCTCATATATTTTTTATTTATAGATGTGGCAAAAAAAAAAAATCTTGATATAAATGTATCAATAAAGATCACGCACCGTACGCACGTTCCACTATAAAAAAAAAAAAAAAAAAATCTTAAAAAAACCTGTTTACTATTATATTTAGTATAAACATTAATTATAAAATGGTGAAATTGCAACTTTCTAATCAACGATCGAATGTAAGAGATGCTTGGAAATGTGACATTCATAATGTGCCATCTTTAACCAAACTAATTAGTGTTCTTCTTTCTACTACATATAAGTATGTCGCAAAATTAAAAAAAAAAAATCTTAAATCCCTTTTTCTATTCTAAGCACCCAAGAATTTTAACTTTAAAAAAACATTGTGTATTCAAAAGAATAGTCCAAAATAATTAATATCTTACCTATAAAGAAATTGCTAATACACTTAACTTCAAGCCAAAAATATCACCCTAGACTATAAACCGTGAGCTTAATAAGCTCAGATATCACTTATGTTACTCAAAAAAAGTTTCTATGCTTATTTTGAAGCAGTGTAAATTCCATGTAGAATGGGCTCTTGTTCATGCCAAGCAAAATTGAAAAACAGTTGTTTTTTCAAATAAAATGATGTTTCAAATGTTCTGAAATATCATAACTGTATTCTATAAGATTAGTAAAGAAATTTCACAAAAAGGAGTTCTGAAACATTCAGTCAAAGTTCATGTATAGGGTGCATTTTTAGTATGAGGAACCATCGGCTTTTACATGTTTATACAGAATATGAATGGCCAGCTTTATCATGAAATTTTAATCAATCATCTTTTCAAAAATGCTATGAGAATAATGCCAAGATAATGGGTCTTCCAATAGAATAATAACTTAAAGTACACAACCAAGAAAACAGGTATACTTCTTTGTCGCCAATTCCCAAAGGTTCTTGACTCACATTCATATAGCCCAGATCTCAATCTTAACGAGAATCTGTGGGCTATTATGAAGAGAAGAGTAGAAAAAAAGATCAATAATATCATAAGAAAAAAAAAAAAAGATATTAATTAAGTGTTGGTATGAAATAATCAAAAAAGAATGTGAACTTATTTTTGTAGATATGTATTTTAATTTGATAAATGGTATGACTAAGATTAGATAAGGTAATTGAAAAAAAGTGAAAAAAAATTAATCATTAATGTATAAGGATAAGTTCCTAAACTATTTAGCATATAAAATTTCATAGATCAATTATGTTCCTTTTGAAGGGACATAATTATTTATTCATTACTTTAATAGGGACATAATTCAAAAAACACTTGGATCAAGTGGCCTAAATTGCAAAAAACCTTTGTAAGTAGTTTTTTTTTGATCTTATATTTAAAAAAAAATTTTTTTAATAATGAGGAACATTTGAATTATGTCCTTGCCTTTAATTTAGAAACCCATCTTTATTGATGTATATAAGTTTTTTTTATTAAATGATGTATTTACTTTCTTTTAAGTTACAAGTTAAATAAATAAATATTTATAAATATTTAAGCTCAACTATAATTCTCATTATTTATGACTAGCACTGTACTATTTATAATTATGTTTTTATAATTAATCACTGTCTATAGTTACTATATCAATTTTTCAACTTTATTATAAAATCTATAAAAAAATATTTATTTATAAGAACCTCTTTTCTATAATTATGTTTTTTTAAAAAATTAACATAAAACAAAATGTGATAACTATAGACAGTTACAACTGTATATTTGATTATAAGTAGTAACAAAATATAAAGTTCAATAGTTTAAAGATAAAGTTTTTTAAAAAAATTTTTTTGTAATCAATATTTTATTTTTTTTTGTAACTTTCTATTTTTATTTATTATTTTTTCTTTTGAAATGGCAACAAAATGCAAGTGCCCTATTTTAAAAAAATAGAAATATAGAATTTATTACATAATTCGATTGACATTTTTATATTCAATTTTTAAAAAATTCTAATAATTTATATATTTTAGGACAAAAATAACAATTTTTTTTTTAAAGTTGAATAACATTATATGCAAATTTTATTGATATATATTTTCGTTAATAAAATTAATTTTTAAAATAGAAATGTGTATTAGAAGCCACCGTCTATATATTTAGAATTGTAACTTCGAATAAATCAATCTTACTAGGCACTTTTCTTTATAGAATCCATGCATGGTGCGAAGGATTATAACATGTATAAATAAGCAATATAACATTAACTTTGAGAGTAAATATTAAACGCGATTTTTATACTTAAAAGGTGGATCCGAAGTAGAAGGCAATGCAAATTCTTTATTTTTTCACGCAAGAGAGAATGGTGTATACAAATCTAATCTCAACTCATCAAAAATATTCGTCAAATATAACTCGTATCTAAAGTGATGCTACTGCAATTGATTTTGGTATATTAAGTGAAACTCTAGTACGTACAATATAGGGCCCTCTATTAACATTAAGAAACAAATTATTATTTTATTATTTTTTTTTTTTGCAGTGTCCTTATCACTAAGGCAAGGTCATCAGTGCATATTCACGTTGATTTCATCTACAAATCACGTTCTTCACTTGATCAATTTATTGACCCATTTCATGTACGGTTGTGCCGATAACATGGCCAAGGTTGCCTGAGTACGTTTACTTCTCCGTACTTCCTGTGACGTACGTGAAGTGACCATGTCCTAAAATAGACGAATTCAAATAATTAGCTTCGGCATAGTTTATGAAGTGGCCTAATTAAACGTGACTTTACCTGTTGTCTCTTGCCCATTGTTGAGGAAAGTTCTTGTAGACAAGAAGTTAATTCGCTATTAAGGGATAATTCCCGTATACCTTTTGAATTAAGCCACTGTCGTAATTCTTCAATCTACAATGAATTGGCAGATTTTAGCGAAGCTGTTGAACAATAGTACCAATAGTATCAAACCAGGTTATATATACAAACCTGGGATATCTCGTCATAATACCCCCATTGAGTCTGATTGTCTATACCAGCATTGCGACCACTTATCTCTTCAACTTTCCTTCTTTTATTGAAACGTTGCAATTCTCTTTCTGTCATTATTTCCAAATCAAAATTATTTGGACTCTCGACAAAGATCCTGCCCGCACCGTATTTTTCAGTAACTGCAGCTCCCACATTATCAAAGTAGTAGTACTTATTGTAAAAACGGTCACGCCCTAAAAGAGAGACGCGCGGCACCGAGTACTTTCGCTTTTCCTTCTCAATTTGATCTTCCTAAAAATGTATTTTGAATGAGTAAATCCAAACTTTATAATACAAATACAATGAAATATAAAATATACCCTTTTTTGTATTGCGACTTCATCCTCTTCCAATTTACGCTTTCTTGATTCCAAAGTTTCGGTACCATTACCATTAGACTTCACAGCAGAAGTTGAAGGACTTCTTTCATCATCAGAGTCTTTAGCCAAGGAAGGAGGAAGGTTACCTTTGGCAATTTCAGCGAATGAAAGTGCGCTGAAATACAAACGTTTTAATAATGCATCTAGGACATTCACTAATCACATAGTACGTAGTAAATAATGTGAATTGATCACCCACATTTGTCGTTTTTCTTTGGCAAGATCAGATTTCTCCTTGTTGAGATCTGCCAGTTTCTCAACACATCTTTCAATATAATCATGAATAACTACGGTCTTTGTGGCAACGTTAACCAAGAAGTTCAAAATTTGTAATTTATCTACCACCTCAAGGGTCACATAGTTTTCTTCAAAATCCTCTTCAGTAACAGACTCATCATCAGGTACCATATGAGCAATCGTGCGATCCAAATTAGGAATGGACTCGTAATCACCTAACTGCAGTCACGTGTAGTATAAGCAATACATGAAATTGTTATATTATAACGAAAGAGCATACAATAAAATTGAAAAAGCAGTTACCTGATGAATGCAACCAACGAGAATACTTTCCCAACCTTTCCGTCCATCACTGGAAGACAAGGTTCGCTTGTCCCAATTTTGACCTAGTCCTTCCAGTATCTTTCGAGAAGCATCTGGCGTTGCACTGTCACTGACTTGATCGACATCCATCGGGTCACTATCCGATTCATTTTTTGGATTATCTTTTAAGTTGCCAACGCGAGCAACAACCTGACGCTTTTTTCCTTTTGAGTGTAAACGATCTTTGATAATTGCGTTCAATAAGACCACATGCATCTCGATGGTCAAGTAACAACGAGGATTTACCACATTGTGGTAAAGCGAAGATTCAAAATCATCGAGGGTACAGAAAGACATGCCAAGTGATTTTCTGAATAATGTATGATTCACGTTAAAACCACTTATTTGTGATCAAGTACAAATGATGAGAAAAAGGTTGTTACCCAAATATATTAAAGAAATTCCAGATAACAAGCATTGTTCCTACATATTTTTGAGGAACTTTAAAGTCTTGACTTATTGAAGGTCGTTTTTGACGCAATGATCGATCAAGCGGCACTTCAAGATCTTCGATCGGATACTTTACTATAAATATTCGAATGGTATGTATAGTAAGTAAACATAGAGTCAACTAACTACAATGAATACACACATACTTTTCTTTTGTTCAGCTTTCTGCCGTTTCTGCTCTTCTTTTTCTTTTTGCTTCTTTTCTTTTGCGGCTTGACGTTCAGCTTCCTTTTTCTTCTTTTCGAGTTCTTGTTGTTTCTTTTTTTCCTGCCTAGCCTTTTCCGCAGCGCTCTTAGTTGGCTGTTTTTTAGACTGTTTTTTATTCGTCAACTTTTTCGAGCTTTGCTTTGAAGTCTTGCTTGAGGACTTTTTGTTTGCTGAAGCCCCCCCCTTTGTTGCCCGCACATTGACACTCGTTCCTTTGTTATTTTTAGACTTTTTCATTGGCACCTCATTTGAAGATGATTTAGACTGATCAAAGTAGCCATATTAGTTCCTAAATACAGATGATACATAGCCATAAATTTTGTATGAATACAACAAACCTTTCTCTTCCGACTTTTTTCGAGTGCCTCAACTTTTGCCTGTTGTAACTCATCAGGCAATTTTGTCGATATGCCATACTTTTTGGCCAATTTCAGCTGGAGAAAATACATAATACATTAATATCATAACAATAATATCATGTAACGCGTTAGGTGTATTAATTTATACTTTGACAAGCCATGGCGCGTGGTAGTAAGAATCTTTGTTGGCGGTCTCTTTAATGAATTGACGAACAAGCGTTTTGGTGAAGGATAATTTGTCCGCACGGCTAGAAAATATTTAACCGAGAAGCGATGAGAAATGCTGATTTGTAAATGAAACCCAGCTTGGTTTCAAATTCCAAAATTCTAACCTCATAACATCACTTCCATTAATTGTCTTTATAACCAATTTCTTGTTTTTTTGCTTCGCCGAATTAGCTTCTTCATCCAATATTTGTACACGGTACGAAACCTGCGAATTGGAGATTTTACGTGGTTTGAAACCGTTCGACTTCACTCCTTTAGAATTTATATCGCTTTGCACATTGTAAATCACTTCTAGAATTTTTGCCTTGATTCTGTCGTATCACAAAATATGCGAAGGTCCAATGGTGAATGAATGAACTATATTCTATTACTAGCAATATAAGGAACGTACTTTCTCTTATCAACCACCACATATACAATTTCCCCGATAGCATATAAGTCTTTGAATTCTTGGAAGATCTCATTTACAAGTACGTCCAATCTATCCGTTTCTATATCCCGAAATAATTAATGATTAGGATTCACCGCATGGATTATTTGATATACGATAATCAGTTGAATGGCTTACTGAATTGAATCAGCCTCAATATTTGTTCTTTTAAGCCCTCCGGGAACTTGTCTTTTAACGCTTCCCTATGATTGTTCTCGCTTTCAAGAGCTTGCTTATACGTGAGACTTTGCTTTCCAGTTAAAATACATTGCCATATAGGTCTTTCGTAAAGTGCTAAACGTGCTAGATAATCTCTGCAAAACGGAAACGGGTTTAGGGAAAATAACTTTGATATTCATGAGAGGTTGAAATCATGCTATCGTTTTAGCCGTAAAACATATATCCTCAGTCTTTAAAATAATCTACTGAAAAGCTGATTCGATCGATATATATGAAAAGGATACTCATATTTTATGAAAATTTCCGAAGTGTATGGTATTACCCAAACTTTGAGATTTGCATTTTTTTCTAGATTAAGTTTTGGTTTCGGAACAGGATGAATAGGTTTACGCGCATAAAGGGGCATTTTGTCTGAGTGTAAATGCTGAGGCCTAAATTTTTAATTCCAGAGGGGCACGAAAAAAGATGAGCAATAAAAGAAATGACCGTAGCGAGGGTTTATAAAGCGGTGTCGTAAAAATCTTTTCCACTGGAAAAAACAGAACAGTATTATTTGGGAGAGTACGAGGATAAGGGATTCGATACAGGGTGAAGTTGACAGGAAACGTCGCAAAGTAGGTAAGAAGTAAGTGTGTTGACGAGTTCAATGTCGCAAATATAAATACGTAGTATTTCGCGTACAACATGCAAAGTTGGATTGGTCACCACTTTCTAATAGCTATTTTGTATATTTTCACGTGATCTACGAATGCTACAGAGAGCGTCGGATCCTTTCATTTCGTGCACGTGAAATAAATCACATTACGCGTAGCCACATGAGTAAATATTTATGATTCATGACTTTTATTAGAAAAACGTCGAGAAAATCGCATACAAATAAAAACATATATTCACAATAAGAAATAAAAAACAAAATTTTTATTTATGAAAATAAAAATTTTAGTATCGTCTCGTGCCGGTTACATCATTGTTCTCGAAACGTCTCCCAATTGGTTACTTCAAATTTTCCGGTGGTTTTTGTTCAAGTTTCACCTCTTCTCGTTTCTTAAAATTATCTTCGATCTGGTCCAAAATTTCATTGATGCCTTGCAATTTTAAATCCTCTCGAACAAAAATGATTTTCGGCGACTTTCTAACATACATAGAACGTTGAAGCATGCTACAGTATTCCTCGAGATTTTTGCGAAGGCAACTCTCTATAGCATCCTAATTCCAATGAAATAGCACCAAGTTTTTTTTTCTTTCGCATAATTAAATACACCAGAGATGAATAATAAGACTAGATACCTTGCTGATACCTTTCTGCCCTTCGGGTTTCCACCAAATCCGAGCAACTCTTAAATTTGGTGATATCGTAATCTATAATAAAACGAATGTCAAATCAACGAAGACCTTCAAACAGGATTCGACACAACACATTGCGTTGTTTACATTGACAATCCGCATGAATGTTGAACTTAAAAACGCGTGAGGCACGCGATCGTTGCATTTAATAATCGCACGGTTTAAACGTTGAGAAAGATTTCGTTGGGAAGAGTTCTGAATCATTGTAAATGTCGAAATTTCTTCGCCATTAATGTTGACCGTCTTCTCTTCAGTATTTGCAGAATTCGACGCGCGAGCTTCCCGTGCAGACTTTCTTTGGACGGGCTACGAGAAACTAGTGAACATGGTGAACTCAAGCGTAAAACTAGTTCGGAAAATTATAGATTTGGAACCTCTCTTCCGAAATAACTTTCTTGTCGCGCTTCCTTTTTCAAAGTCCTTCTATTCTTTCTGAGAAAGTGCTGATATCTTCCCGGAACATAATAATTTTCTAATATTTCCTCGGCCTCTTCATTGACGGGCACATAGACAGGATTAGAGGATGCCTTCGATTGGCTTGTGAACAAGCCTGCCACTGACGAAAAAGAGTCCTTTCGGTGTCGTAGAATGACTAAGGAGTTTTTCACGTTGGCAACGAGGAAAGCCAGCATGACGCATTATGGTTAAGCTTTTTTTATTGTGTAACTATTATGGGTGTTATCACATGCTGGAAGATGATTAAGAATTCACAATTTCTCTCTTTACACAACACATTGATTACGTTTAATAATATCCATGGAATTCTTACAAGGCATAGAACATTGTCACATATTACATGGCAACGAACTCAAGAAACTTGAACACACCATTGTCCTTTGGAATATTAATACTGGTTCAAAAATCGGTGGCTATACTACAACGCATTATCTAAGCCCAGTAATAGACGAACGTGATAGAGACAAGACCGAACAACAAAGTCATAAAACCATCACACGATCTTTTCCGTCAAAGAATGAAGCGCGACTTATCGACCTCAATATTTCAAAGATCGTAAGAGAAGATTTTTTACTTGTGTAAATTGCTAGTTTTGTTTCTTACTAATCAAATTCACGTAAAAAAATTTTATTTTTGCTATAGATAGTTCTTCCATCTGCAATACCACACCTTGCGACACTCCGAAGGCTTTACCTCCAATACAACAAACTTTCCTCCATTCCTGATTCACTTTTTCACCTAACCTCCCTGGAAGAACTACACTTGCAATGCAACCAATTGACCATACTTCCCCCTCATATTGGGCATTTAACCTCACTACGCGAACTATTTATTCATAGTAATCGAATTCGGGAAATACCTTCTCAGATACGTGAATGTAAAAAATGCGATTTCTTAAACCTGGGAGATAATCAATTGACCTATCTGCCGGCGGAATTGGTTAAGATGGAAAAGCTTTCCGCTCTTCGCGTGAAAGGCAATCCTTTTGTATTGGGTAAGGAGGGGAACGGACTGACGAAGTCAAATGGAGCAAATGAAAACGTTAGTAAGACCGTCATGAGTCTGATTGATATGTGTGCACAAGTTGTTGGAAATACAATATTGGATCAAGGTCGACACTTCTTTTGCTGCAAGAATAAACAAACTCTTTGTAAACAGAAAAAGAATTGTATTTTCAACTTCCTCCCCAAAAACATTTTAGATCGAGTCGTATCTTCGAATGATTGTGCACCAAGGGCTGTTTGTTCATGCTGTGATACCCCACTATTTCACTCAAGCATCAATTATCAGACCATCGATGAGATATGCGGGCAAAAAGTACCCATACTTTATCAACTCTGTTCATATACTTGTAAGAACATAATCACAAAAGGATATTCGTTAAAGAAACTATTGTGTGATAATTACTGTCCCAATAAATGAAAACCGATAGAGTTTATCACGAACATTGTAATATAGAAAAAAAGTTGTTTTTTTTTTATATTTTTTTATATTTACCAGGAATTGGTCGTTTAATCATTATATTATTATTATTTAATTTCGAGCAAACATCAAGTTAATTAATTATTCGGATTTCTTATGGTTGACATCCGTAAAGGATTTTGGTTTTGGTTTTGCTTTCTAGAGAGATATGAGATGAGAGATATTTAGAACAAAGAATGAATTGATTAAGTTCAAAATTCGTGATTTCTATGTTGAACTCACCTGTGTATATGATGAACGTGGTGATGCCCATTCCAGCAAGAACATAAGCAAACTAGAAACCAGATATATCTCGTGAGTAATGTCGTGAGTGGAGGTTGTATAATATAATGTGGTGAGCGTTGTTGTTCCCCATAAGACCGAGAGGGGAATTGCTGGTTTAATAATTCCTATGTTCTCAAAGTGATATATCACCACGGTTATCAACTGAAATTTTTGAATGGAGAATTAAGGTTAACGTGATTCGCTAAGATCAAATTGAATCGAGAACCATGATAGCATACAACTACTGTCAACAGGGCACCCGTGACAAAAATTTCCGGATTCGGGTGTCCAAAAACATACTCGGCAATGTATTTAATGGTAAATAACACGGCCAGACTATTTAAAAGGAGCTATTTTGGGAGGGGAAAGTGGAAATTACACGGAGTAGTTAATATCATCGTCATTTATGTGATATGATTATTAACGCATTCTACGAACCAATTTTGCTTTCGTTGACGGCGATTCGTCTGTAGGTTCGGGAGGAATATACCAGTTGCCTTTTCTACTTCTATGTCGCGCTGTGTAAATCGCACTAGGAAGCACGGTGTAAATAACAAGAAACGCTGGTATACCCGCGATCCTGAATTTAAAAGAGAGAATACTTCGTTATACACGCACTGTCAGCTGCGACCAACTTGTGGCGACTTACAAATCAGTTAGACTGAGTGAATTAAGGAAATCTGCCTACAAAATTGAATCAGGTAAATTTCAGAACGCGTACTTCAATTAATGCTAACCACCTACCCAAACTGGAGGTAACCACGAATTAAAATCTATTCCAAACATTTTTTTTTTTTTATTCTCTCTCTCTCTTTTCTTTCCGAATATGACAAAGAGTATATTATATAGTGAATAGTTTCGAACAAACTAGCGTTTTTTACATTCCTTTTTATGCTTTCTTCTATGACATGTGAATGGTAAGCATAAACAGTAATGATCATCATAATTTTTTATCAAAAACGTGATAGGCACCTGACAGTGGTGTGAACAAGCGAAAAATTGCAAATGAAGAAATGAAGTTTATTGGTAACTTTTTCCCATTAACGTTCTATTTGATTTCATTCATTCCGTTTTCTTACGCTACCAATTTTGATTAAAAATAAGAGATTGGCGCAAATTTAACTGATCCAAGGTTCCGTGGAATTTATAATGGAAAACAAGTGCATGCTGGTAATTTCGCGATATCACATACCAATAATTAATGGGCTAAACAGAAACTGATTCGATTTACGTTTATGCAAAGACGATTTTTCGCAAATGTTGCAACGTGCAACAAATGCTGGCGTCGAAAGAATTATCGTGACTAGCGGTACAGCTCACGAAGGTATCGAAGCTTTGCAACTAGTCAAGAATCATGGTAACTATTTAATCCATGGTAAAAACATTTTTCGAGTCTTGCCAGCGTCTCTTAAATTTTGTGAATAGATAATCTTTTCACGACAATTGGTTGCCATCCGACTCGATGTAACGAATTTGAAGAGAATCCTGGAGGTCCCGATCAATATTATCAAAAACTCCTCGACATCGCCACGGATGAATCCGCCAAAGGCAAAGTGGTGGCTATAGGAGAGTGTGGTCTTGGTAAGTTGAGCCTAGTTATCTCCATTGTGTCATATAATTCATCGTTTCTTTCTTTTTTTCTTATTGTTATTATATAAAGATTACGATCGACTGCAATTTTGTCCGAAAGAAACACAACGCAGGCAATTCATTTAATCCATTAATATTTCAGAAAGTTCATTATAGTTCCCCCAAAGATCTCTTTCCGCTGAAACACAGGAATTAATGGAAGATAAAAAAAATCATAGATATTTCGAACGTCAGTTTCAACTTGCGAAGGAAGCTAACCTTCCAATGTTCCTACATAACCGGAACACAGGAACAGAATTTATGGATATCCTTTTCTTATATTCTATCTTATCCTCGAGAGAAGAAAATATTACCTTAACAAACAAATTGATTCGAATAATACATATGGTCAGAAAGCATAGAGATAAATTCACGCGTGGAGTTGTTCACTCGATTACTTGTGATATTGAAGAAATGGAACGCGCTGTTTCTCTTGGATTACACCTTGGGATTAACGGGTGGTAATAATGGTTACCTGACATCTTTTTCTATGTATGTCATTCAATCGTATTAATGATTTTCAAGTTCACTAAAGACAAAAGAAAATCTCGAGGTTGCAAGGCGCGTTCCGGTGGACCTATTGATGATAGAAACAGGTACTATGGATAGAACTTTTAGTGGAAGATAACAGGTTAACGATGAATGATAATGTCATTGAACATTAGATGCTCCATGGTGCGACATTCGCCCAACTCACGCATCATATTCCCATTTAAATTCAACCACCCTTTCCAAGGAAATGATGGAATTATACCAACCGCCATCACGTAAGAAGGAAAAATTTGAACAAGGATTAATGGTTAAAGGAAGGAATGAACCATGTTGCATTGGGTAAACCATTTTTTCCCCTGATTTCGGCGGATTCATTCATATGGATTGACCGATTCATTCTCACTTTGAATTTATTTAGCCAAGTGTTATATGTATTGGCCTCGATTCGTGGTACGAACCCTGAAACACTGGCAGAAAAAATATATGAAAATACCAGAAAATTCTTTTTTAATGAAGAATAGCGGATTTTAATATATATACAGTATATATATACATATATTCTTATCAAAGATAAAATACAAAACACAATTCCCAGAATATCTAATCATAAATAATGAAATATGATGATTTGAAAATATTATGGGCGCGTCCATGTTCTCCGATTTTAAATTTTTATTGATTTACACCCCTTGGATACAAGGTTTCTTTGGATTATATTTACACGGCTTGAAATACCATTAATATGATAAAAAGGAAATCATACGGATGGAAATTTTGCGTGGACGACAGAAATTTTTTGGGATCTTTTATTGTTCAAAATGGAATTTAAAGAGAAAAGTTAAGATGACCTTAACGCGCTTTGCACGAAAATTAGAACAATTACAAAATCACCTACACATAAAAAAAGCAAGAATCTCAATTGGAATGATTCGAATGGTTAGTAGTAGAAGTATCTTGATCATCGCTTTCTAAACCAAATCTTGCCCGTCGGCGCTTCTTCTTTTCTTCTTCCATGGCTTTTTCACGTGCACGGTCTTCTTCGAATTGCTTTGCACAACGGATCGAACAAAAATCGTACCTCAAAGGTACATCTGGCACTAAGCAAACCCATGTAAAATGGAGCAAAGTCGCTGCATACTCCGTGTGCAAACAATCACAGGTAGAGCACACGCGTTTCTTCGGATGCAATAGGGTCGATCGAACTACTTCTGTTAAATATTTTCGTTTAGTCACATATTTCGAATTCAAAAACTCTTTATGACGGTTCAAACATTCACGATAACATAATTCAGAAAGTTTGGGAACGGCTGAATTGGTTGAATAGGAAAGCTCGAAACGATTTTCGATTTGTTTGACCAAAGGATTATTGCTAATATCCAATTGTTGCAATCCATTCATTTTTATGGCTATCTGACATGGGAGCTCCCCTATGAGGTTATGTGACAAGTTGAGATATCTAAGGCTAACGAGTTGTCCTATTTGCGCAGGTATCCAAGAAAGTTGATTGTGAGAAATGTCAAGATGCGTGAGACTTTCAAATGGAGTTGTATACATTGGAAACAAGAACAAAACATTATGAACACTGAACATGTTGTTGTGTGTCAAGGTCAACCAAATGCGATTGTCGGACGGAGAGATGACATAATGAAATTGATCGATTATTTTGGTGTTTTTATTTGGTCTGTAATTAGAATCATCCCCTCGAAGACCGTTTAGCCATTTGTAAATATAATCGTTTTCATCTAACTTTCTTGCTTCAAGGGTCTTCTTTTCACCTCCGATCTTTATTATACCTTTAGCACTCTCATTCGTCCGAACCCATTCTTCAAGTTTTTCATTCCTTGAACTTTTTCGCATATGTTTGTTCCTCGAAACACACGATACACCAGGACCAGTAACGTCACGTGGTAGAGACGTCTTTTGTTCATCTTGAACGTGGTCGAGAAAAGTCACCTCCGTTCTTTTAGTATTTCCCTTGCGATAAATAGATTTTCTATACCTGATATTTTTATACCTGCTTCCTGTGAGGCTTGAAAGTTGACTGGCAGTTTCTTGTCTGTTGTTTGTGGAGTAGACGTCGTTGCTGGCTGTGTCATCCTTTTTTGCATTTTTGTCAATTCCTAATACTTTTCTTAATTCCATTTCCGCCGGCTTTATTTCTGCTTCCCCAAGTTTAAAGGACAGTTCTTTACCGGAATGCATTCTTCTTTATCTTTACAGGAGGAAATAAAAAAAAAATAAGATAGAGTATAATAAGATAGAAGCTGTGTGATAACTGTGATAACCTCCTTAAAAGTCGGTTACACCTGACTGCGTACTGCGGTAACAACCTAATCCGTTGTTCAATCAATTTTTGGTTCCATTAGAAATTGCAATGGTCATTAGCGATTGAGAATTATCCATTTTTAAACAATTTACAGTATATCTAGTATGGGATATGGCAATAATCACAATAAAAAATAAGATCAATGTAAAAAAAAGTATATTCAATGAAAATTAAAAAAAATCTTTTAATATCGATTTTTTTTTAAACCTTCAAATCAGGTTGAAATTATTTATTCATTAAATTAGTAATTTCATTAATTTGAGAATCAAGATACGTATTTGAAAATTAATTAAATAAAGCAAAATTAAAATCAAATAACTTCAAAAATAAATAAAAAAATTAACATAAGTATTGATTCTGTATTAATAACAAATTTATCATTAGTGTCAACAATTAATTATTTATTAAAATATTAATTATCAAGAAATTGTTAATATAATTGAAAAAAACAGAAGAGCAAAATATTGTAATGTTTTTTTAATTAAAAATAATCTGATAACTTTTTTTTTTAAAAAAAAAATTAAAAAAATTTCATATTAAAAAATTTTTCAAATAACTGGTTAAAAAATTATTTAGATTTTTTAAAATTAACAAAATATTCTGCTTTATTAAACTAGTAATTAATTTAAAAAACTGGTTTAGTTTTATTTTAATGTTTAAATAAAATTTGATTAAATAATTAAAAAGTAATAATTATTTGAAAAAGTAAATTGATTTTAGTTTTTTAAATAAAAAGTTTTAAAAGTTTTAAAATAGTATAACAAATGTTACTCTAATAAAATTATATTTAAAAATTATATTAAAATATATAATAGATTCAATAATTTTGTTTAAATATGTTTTTTAAAAAGTATTTAATTTAGGATATATAATAATATTGATATAAATAATTTTTATAATATAATAAATATGAAAAAGAATATAAAAAACAAAAAAAAAAAGAACTGTTATAAATTTTTTCTTATATAATTAAAAAATAAACAAAACTTTCAAACTTGAATAAACTTTAATTAAAAATTTATTCCACTGCACTAGTCATCTTGAAAATTCTTTTTTTTTTTTTTTTTTATAGTGGAACGTGCGCACGGTGCATAATCTTTATTGATACATTTATATATCCAGATAGATACCAAGTGTCTTTACAGGTTAACCGACGATTGGTTGGTACAGAATACCCATTATGTCTTTACATTAATCTATAAGTTAATACTGACTAGTACATATATTACTATAAGACTAGCTACGTTAATCACTATTACCCAACTATATGTCCATTTAAACATCAAGAAGATGTGTCCACATGTCAGGTGGGACTTTCACAGGGAGGGGAATCCTACCACTAGTTTAAACCCGTCTAAACCTGCTAGTTAATTATTGCAAGGAGTAGTGTGTATGGAATATTATTATAGAGACTAACTCCAGAATTCCAATCATCTGTTATCGCTGATTCTCAAGATGTGCCACTAGCATAGCGTCACACTACCATTTTCATCACCTGTGGAACTGGCGTTCTTGCTTGGATTCTGATTTAATCTTGTAGAATCTCATTAGTATCACTTGGCTTAACGATTTTTGTCTAGTCTTCTCACTACTTGTGGCTGATACCTTGCCCTTCGGCCATATGATTAAGTTCCATGGAACACCACCATTGGAATAGATCTACAAGCTTCAGATTGGAATAGATCAGCTTAGGATTAACCTCTTTATATTGTGTGACGGAGTCTGCCATCGCCAGTTTGGGCTGGAGTTTTTGTGAGCTTATTACCAAAGTTAGATCAAAAGCCTTTCCTCATGCAACCTTCCTTGCTTCGACCTGTTTTCAGCCTGTGATCATCGGGAAGACCAGAGGTCCCATCTTCATGCAACCTAACTAGATTTGGAGAATTGATTGTTTGTTGGCTAATTGGGTATGACATGAATTGGAAGCCAGTCAACCAATCATGAATGTGATAAATTCTTTTGTAACCAGGTAGGATTGAACCCTAAACCTTCTCCTGGTAACCTATGGAGCACTATCACTGTGCTATGGACCCATAGGTCTTCATCTTGAAAATTCTTAAGTTTTTAAGTTAAGATTTATATATATATAAAATAAAAACTATTTTTTTTTTTAATAAAATAAATATAATCAAAAAAGTTATTTCATTAATCTTTTGATTTATTATTATTTTATTTTAATTAAAAATATATTTGTATAAATTTTTTCTTTATTTTAAAAATTGAATTTAAAAAAAAATTAATTGATATTATTTTAATTAAAAAGTTTGGAATTTTTTAAAATTACAAATTTTAAAACTTTAAAGTTTTAGATATATCTTTTTATAATCAATAATTATATACTGTATATTTAGTTAATTAAATAAAAGAAAATTGTTAAAAATAAATTTTAATTAACAATATTAATTATATATACTCATATAATAAATTATTAAGATTTTTATATAAGTTGATAATTGATTATTTTTTTTTTAATTTTATTTGGCTTTTATTAATTTATATATAGTCAACAAAAAAAAAATAAACTATAATAATAATAATTTATTTTTACATAATTCAAAACATAATATACTGTATTAATATTTCATATTTTTATTCTTAGTCTTAATAATTGTTTTAATATGTTAAGGTAAGCTTAAATTTAAATATCATATTATTTTAACACTTATTTTTGTTTATTTATCTTATTTAACATTAATTAAATCCTAAATAAACACAAGTAAAGAGTTTCTTTTTTGAATTTGACAGTTTAAATAGTTTCACAAATTCTTGATCAAATTAAGATCAGAATTTTAAATAATCCAATCCAAGATTTGAATCACATATAATTCAAGTCATCAAGCCATATATTAAGCAGTATGATAACTAATACTGTTTTGTTAAAATATAGTACTTGGATTATTATATAAAGTCGATAGCTAAAATATTTATGTAAGTCTCTGAATATATTGTTTAATTTACAAGTACTAAGAAGTCAATATCATTTTACAAGAAATCATTCCAAAATATAACTAATTTTTCTTCAAATTTTATAATAGACTTAATACAATCTATATTATATTCTTCTCCAACTTTACATCAAACTCATACTATCCATCAAACTCAAATAAAACAAATTGTGATTTATCAAACCATATAATTCATTTCTATTCCTTATCTTAATTACATTTGGTTCTATATCAATTAAGTCAAACTAAATATTGTTTATTTGATAAAAAAGATTTTTTTTATACTATATAACTTTCTAGTTTTATTTTATATAAGTAGTTTTGAATTGTATTTATATAATATATTGAGATAAGATAGATATTCATATTGTTTGAAATGTTATTCAAAAGTACAAAACAATTTTTTTGAATATAACATTATACTATTTATAAATTATAATTAAAAAAAGATTTTGATTGTTCAGTATATGTATTGGAATAAGAAAAACTTTTTTTATAGCAATTTATTATATCATAAATAGTTGAATAAGATATATTGAGTTGAAAGGCAATAATTTTACCTTTAATACCTAAAAGATATATATTGATTATTTGCTTATATTGTTAAGAGCTTAGCTTTAAACTTTATAATAGAAAACTATAAAACAAAAAAAATAACATGAAAAAAAATTTTTTTTAAATATATAACAAAATTAAAAAAGAAACATGTTTTAAAAAGTTTTTTTTTATTATAATCAATCAATTGCAATAATTCATTCTGATAATTTACTATAGGAGTGTATATAAAAAATTATTTTATTAAAAATTCAACCTGCTAATCAATATATTAAAAGTATATAATTATAAATAAATTTATTTTAAATATTTAACAATATTATTACTTTATGCATACCAACCTTGAGGGTCCCACTGACACATTAGGAAGGAGCAGTAGGAGTGACGTGAGAAGTTACTTATGTAGA